ATAAGGGGGGATATGATCACCATGTATAATACATAAGGGGGGATATCATCTCCATGTATAATACATAAGGGGGGGGGATATGATCACCATGTATAATACATAAGGGGGGATATGATCTCCATGTATAATACATAAGGGGGATATGATCACCATGTATAATACATAAGGGGGGATATGATCACCATGTATAATACATAAGGGGGGATATCATCTCCATGTATAATGCATAAGGGGGGATATCATCTCCATGTATAATACATAAGGGGGGTTATGATCTCCATGTATAATACATAAGGGGGGGGATATGATCTCTATGTATAATACATAATGGGGGGGGGGATATGATCACCATGTATAATGCATAAGGGCAAATGATCTCCATGTATAATACATAAGGAGGGGTATGATCAACATGTATAATACATAAGGGGGGGGGGATATGATCTCCATGTATAATACATAAGGGGGGTTATGATCACCATGTATAATACATAAGGGGGGATATGATCTCCATGTATAATACATAAGGGGGGGTTATGATCTCCATGTATAATACATAAGGGGGGGGGGGATATGATCTCCATGTATAATACATAAGGGGGGGGATATGATCTCCATGTATAATACATAAGGGGGGGATATGATCACCATGTATAATACATAAGGGGCAAATGATCTCCATGTATAAATACAACAGTGGTTCATATAGTGAACTCAGTGTAAAGTTATTCACCCTAAGGTCATCACAGAGGACAAGGGGGCACTCTTTACGTCAGGAGGAAAAGAGATTTAATCTCCAAATGCGGAAAGGTTTCTTCACAGTAAGAGCTATGAAAATGTGGAATAGACTCCCTCAAGAGTTGGTTCTGGCCAGCTCAGTGGATTGCTTTTAAAAAGGCCTGTATTGTTTCTTAGATACACATAATATAACTGGATACTAACATTTATAGGTAAAGTTGATCCAGGGAATATCTGATTGCCTTTCAGTGGATCAGGAAGGAATTTTTTTCCCTGCAGGAAAAAAATTGGATCATGCTTTGCTGGGTTATTTTGCCTTCCTCTGGATTAACTGTGGGTGTAGGATTATAACTTTTTTTTTTTTTGTTGAACTGGATGGGCTTTTGTCTTTTTTCAGCCAGATTAACTATGCAACTATGTGTCCGCAGGCTGAATGTACCCAAGTTGATCGATCAACATGGGTGCAAACCAGCCTGTCTGATTTAACATTCGATTATTGTAATCACTATGTTCTTTCAGTGAGAGGAGGGCTTACCCTGACCCCCTATCGGGAGGCACAATGACTCCACAGAAGGGAGTCCCCCCCTCAACACTGACTGTGTTGATGGTGGAATCAAGTGATTTTTTTCTTGCTTGCAACCCGTGGTCTATGGCCGGCTTCAGTCCAAGTTTATTACTGAGCATACATTTAACAATACCATTGTTTCAATAAAACAAATCAATTGCAATACATTTCTGAGAACAACAAAGTAATTTCAACGGAAAGAGATAATAAATTAGTACAGATGATCCAAATGAGTTTTACTAAACCAATCATTAGTCTTGGCTTCATTTATTAATCATTATTCAGCAAAAGATCATTTTGACATTTACAAATGTATGATCTCCTGATTTATTTTGCAGCAGACAGTGGAGGTTGGGCAGTTGCAGTACTACTGGTGTATGAGAGTACTCCGAGGACTGATTATAACACTACAATTAAAAGCATCCAACTTGTTGGCAGGGGCATTTAGATTGCCTGCCACTAGATGGGTCTGTTCCCAGTATAGTTTGGTAAAGAGAAAGTTGTAATTGGATGTTAGGTCCCCTTTTAGAAAAGTTCCTCCTTAGTGATGTCATGGGTGTAGTCAGTGCCCATATAAGTACTACCAATGGGAAGGGTCTAGGTAGATGGTGCATGAAACCAAATACCCCGGAGCTGCTAATATGTAGAGCTGATCAAAAAAGGACCCTTTGCAAGGCTAAAGTTCTGGGCAAGGTGGTACAGAACTCAATAGGAACAGCCATAGTTTCCCTGTCTCCTCTGACCTTCTTCTGAAGGTGCATTAAGGCCTTGGAGGACAAACCAGAGTCCTTTGATGTGAGTAATGATGAAGCCCGGGACTGAGTGTGCCATCTGGGACCATGCCTGGCTGAACAAAGCTGTGGAAGGGACAATGAGAGAGATCGGTACACTGAGGACACCTAGATCCTACTTGGTGAAGGAAGCTGAATGCTGAAGACTTAGTATACATGGGGAAGTTGTCTCAAATCTGTGGTGGAGGGGGAAGTGCTAAGGGATGATGGTTTACAAATGATGTGCTGGTGTTCTGTTTTGAAATGAAAGCTTCTACTCCTGTGTATGGCGTTCCATGCCAAATAATTGATAGTATGTGAGATGGAATTTCAGATGTCACAAAAGTCTTTAAAGTTACAGTAAAGTGCAGGAAATGCATTTTATGTATGGACATTACTTCATGTATTCACAAATGTTAAGCCAGGGGTTTGACACAATATGGAGGAGGGTAATCTGATCACAGGTGGGTAGCTGTATTATCCAAGAAAAAGCAAGGTGGGAACTAGTACAGTTTTTTCCCAATCCTAGTCCCCCACTTGAAGACCAGGCCACCTTTTATTACAAGAAATTTTTTTTTTTTTGCAAGAAAATTACTTAGCACCCCATACATGAGATATATATAGATATATATAGAGATATATAGATATATATATAGAGATAGAGAGAGAGAGAGAGAGAGAGATACACACTGATACACACATATATATGACATTTTTTTGTTTTTTACAAAGGCCATAGAAGATAAAATGGTGGTCATTGCATTTTTTTTATGTCACACAGTATTTGTCAAACACATTATATTTGTAAAAAACCAAAACACACTTTAATGAATTTTTATTGCACAAAAACACAATATATAACATTTTTGGTAAAATATAAAAGTTTGTTATAAGTAAATAGATATCTATCATGTTTTAAAAATACGTTATGGAGACAAATTACGATACTTTAAAAATATCCATACTTTTTTACAGGTCACCAGTTTATAAAATTATAAAGGTCTAGCACTAACACTATTGCTCTCACTATAATGTTTGCATCGATTCTTCACATGTGTGGCATGAACATTATTTACATATGTATGCACAACCTACGTATACATTCGCTTCTGCATGCATGCACAGAGGAACACAGCACTTTAATTTTTTTTTTTTTTTTTTTTTACATTGTCCCTTTATAAGACCTCATATCTCTCATTTACCCTGGAAAGCATGAGTTAAAAAAAAAAAAAAAACAGTGATCGCGTTTTACAAAAAAAGCTAGTGAATGTGGATTGCTTTAAAAAAGTCCTGGATTCTTTCTTGGATACACAGAATATAACTGGATACTAACATTTTATAGGTAAAGTTGATCCAGGGAATATTCGATTACCTCTGGGGGGATCAGGATGAAATTTTTCCCCTCCAGGAGCAAATTGGATCATGCTTTGCTGGGTTTTTTGCCTTCCTCGGGATCAACTGTGGGTATAGGATTATAACTGTTTTTTTTTTTTTTTTAAATGGTTGAACTGGATGGACTTTTGTCTTCTTTCAGCCAGACTAACTATGTAACGTGCCAGTGAAGTCATGACGTTGCTTCCGGTCTCTTGGGCCAGCTTTATGACAACCCGGCGGCACAGCTGGATCAGATAGCTGGCTCTCCGATTGCATGGGAGGCCCCAAAGAAGCACCAGTGGGTGGTTCTGCCCTCCCTCCACCTGTAAAAGCAATCCAAATCAGCCACTACGATGGCTTTTAGATGAAAAAGCCTCGCCAGCTGAAAAAAAATTGGGGGTTATGCCATACAGCTGCAGCCATAACCCCAGGACACCCACTTACTTACCCCAGTATACTCCAGAGTCTCTCCACAGAGCCTGATTGGTGGAGTGCTGCAGAGATTGTTGTTCTTCTGGAAGGTTCTCCTCTCTCCACAGAGAAATGCTGGAGCTCTTTCAGAGAGACCATCGGGTGCTTGGTTACTTCCCTGGCTAAGGCCCGTCTCCCTCGATCACTCATTTTGGCCAGGTTGGCCCGCTCTAAAAAGATTCCTGGTGGTTCCAAACTTCTTCCATTTATGGATGATGGAGGTCACTGTGCTCATTGGGACCTTCAATGCTGCAGAAATTTTTTCTGTACCCTTCCCAAGATCTGTGCCTTGATACAATCCTGTCTCGGAGGTCTACGGACAATTCCTTGGACTTCATGGTGGAAATATTTAATCCCAAGTTGTTGTAGAATTCCAACTATATATATACAGTGAAGGACACCAAACATTATGCTTTGGGGGTGTTTTTCTGCTAAGGGGATAGTACAACTGCACCACATCAAAGGGACGATGAACGGGGCAATGTGCCGTCAAATCTTGGGTGAGAACTTTCTTCCCTCAGCCAGGGCATTAAAAATGGGTTGTGGATCGATATTCCAGCATGACAATGACCCAAAACACACGGCCAAGGCAACAAAGGAGTGGCTCAAGAAGAAGCACATTAAGGTCCTGGAGTGGCCTAGCCAGTGTCCAGATTTTAATCCGATTGAAAATCTGTGGAGGGAGCTGAAAGTTCAAGTTGCCAAACGTCAGCCAAAAAACCTTAATGACTTGGAGAGGATCTGCCAAGAGGAGTGGGCCAAATTACCTCCTGAGATGTGTGCAAACCTGGTGGCCAACTACAAGAAACATCTGACCTCTGTGATTGGCCACAAGGGCTTTGCCACCAAGTACTAAGTCATGTTTTGTGAAGGGAATCAAATACTTATTTCCCTCATGAACATGCAAATCAGTGCATCATTTGTTAGACATGCATTTCTTTTGAATTTTTTTGTTGCTGTTCTGTCTCTCAGTGTTACAATACACCTACCATTCAATTTTTAGACCGATCATTTCTTTGTGAGTGGGCAAACATTCAAAATCAGCGGGGATCAAATACGCATTTCCTTCCTTGTATATAGGCTGCACTAAAAAACATCGTAGCCTCCCTGGTGGTATTCCCGAGTGTAGCTCGGGGTAAAGTTTCAGTACCACAAGCGGCAACCCCGAGCTACACTCGGGCTTACCATGCGGCGCTGCTCCGGGATCCCTCGATCACTTACCTTGTCCTGCGCTCCCGCGATGTCCCTCCTGCAGTGTCCTCGGCAATGTAATCCGGTGGATGCCGGCATCTGTCATCTGGGTTCCGTCCCCTGCGAGCGTCACGACGTACTGGAGACGGAACGGCGGGAAATTTGAAAATGACAAAAAGTGACATTCACTAAGATCACATAGTATAACATTACTGTATCAAACCATTTCACATACATTTTGTCCCTAGTGCTTTGTCCTGCGCCCTGCCTGCATTTTTACTGTTCTTTTTGCCTGGAAACTGAGAAACGTCCATGGCGTCCAAAAAGTGTCCCTTTAGGTCAAAAGCTGTTTTAGACCAGCTAGAATACAGCAATAGTAAATCGGAACTACTTGCAGAATTGAGTGATGATTCGTGGGAAAATTCGTCATCAGACACTGAAAACAATTTTGTGACTTTGCTCAGTGATGTGCGAACTTGACGCTATATTTCAAATTTCAGTGTTTTTGGTTTGATTATATTATTGAATAGAATGTATTATTATTATATTATTATTTTTTATGATTATTAAATTATAATTTATGATTTCATGTTTCAAGTTTTATCCTACCCAGGATGTTTACTAAACTCTTGTTCGGACAGATTTCAGTGAGTTATTCCTAAAAATTACAGGCCTACAATAAAAAAAATACATATTTCCATGCAAAAAAATTTACCGCTTTGAGCACAGAAATATGGACATAATCAGACCGCTAGGGAGGTTAAGAAAAGAATTTGCGAACACCTTCATAACATCCCCATTGGGTATAAATATCACAGTGTTTCTATGCATTTTATTAAGCATCAGAATAAAGACCCTTCTGGTTTGAAATTTTGGGGTATAGATATCATTCCTCAATCCTGGAGAGGTTCTAATAGGGTGAGAGAGTTGTCTAAAAAGGGAACAAAGTGGATATTCCTTACAGATTCTTTGACTCCTAATGGCTGAAACATTGAAATAGACATCAATTGTTTTATTAATGATTAAGTTCATTTATTATGTTCTACATTTATTTATGTTTTTACTTATTTAAATGTAATTTTGTTTAAATGTAATTTTAGGTTTTATGTTTCTGAATAAAACAAGTCTTGAATATGCTATTCATTTTGAAAAATGTCAAGTTCTAGTATAAAAATGCTTATTTAAGATGTTGGATATATTATTAATTGAAAATCGATGTAGTGGTGTTTGTAACCCACTAGATGGCAGCATCAGGTCTGATTAGTCAGCCAATGGTCAACTGAGTGGTGCTTTATAAGGCCGCTCGTCTTCATGCATGGCCACACCCTCAGAGGAAGTAGTAATGACGAAACGCGTCAGTGCGTGACCAGCCGTGACGTCAGGGTGTGACCATCCGTGACGTCAGGGGGTGACCATCCGTGACGTCAGGGGGTGACCATCCGTGACGTCAGGGTGTGACCATCCGTGACGTCAGGGTGTGACCATCCGTGACGTCAGGGCATGACCATCTGTGACGTCAGGGCATGACCATCTGTGACGTCAGGGCGTGACCATCTGTGACGTCAGGGCGTGACCATCCGTGACGTCAGGGCGTGACCATCCGTGACGTCAGCATGCTCACCGACACCATGTGCCCTCACTATGTGGAAGTTAGTAGTGGTGCTGTGTGCGGTGAGATGCTATTACACCGTTGAAGCGGTAGTAATGTTTTACCAATGTTTTACTTGTGCTTTATTCATTTAATAAAATGTGAGTGTATTTTAAGGGGGGATTTAGGCAACAAAAGGCTCTAAAAACGGAATTACACGTATGTGGTTTTTTTCCACTTTTTCACACATGTATTGGGTTGGATTCTTCCGCTTGAGTGACGGTGCTGTGCAGCCTGGAAGGAGAATGTTTTATTGATCATTCATTTAACTGGATGGGGTATCGCTGTCTAGCTTTAACCCCCCTGGCGGTATTCCCAAGTGAAGCTCGGGGTAAAGTTTCAGTGCTACAAGCGGTAACCCCGAGCTGCACTCGGGAATACCACACGGCGCTGCTCCTGGGTCTCTTCTTGACTTACCATATCCTGCACTCCCGTGATGTCCCTCCTGCAGTGTCCCCCGTAATGTACTCCGGCCGATGCCGGCATCCGTCTTCTGGGTTCCGTTCCCTGCGACGTCGGGACATACGGGGACGGAACGGCGGGAAATTTGAAAATTGTAAAAGTGACATTCACTAAATACACTAAAATCACATAGTAAAACGTTACTGTATCAAACCATTTCACATACATTTTATCCTGAGTGCTTTGTCCTGTGCCCTGCCTGCATTTTTACTGTTCTTTCTGCCTGGAAACTGAGAAACGTCCATGGCATCCAAAAAGCGTCCCTTTCGGTCAAAATCGGTTTTAGACCAGCTAGAGAACAGCGATAGCAAATTAGAACCACTTGCAGAATTGAGTGATAATGATTTGTGGGGAAATGCGTCATCAGACACTGAAAACGATTCTGTAACTTTGCTCAGTGATGTGCGAACCTGGAGCTCTATTTCAAATTTCAGTGTTTTTGGTTTGATTATATTATTGAATTAAATTTATTATATTATTTTTTATGATTATTAAATTATAATTTATGATTTCGTGTTTCAAATTTTAATATACCCGGGATGTTTACTAGAGTCTTGTTTGGACAGATTTAAGCGAGTTATTCCTAAGAATTACAGGCCTACAATAAAAAAATTCATATTTCCATGCAAAAAAATGTACCGCATTGAGCACAGAAATACTGACATAATCAGACCGCTAGGGAGGTTACTCCTTTCTATTTTCCATTTATATTTATTAATAGTATGTTTGATTCACATTTTGGTTTATATAATTAAGCACTGTTTATGAGGAGGGTCAACTATACTCATAGATTTATATATTATCATTTATGACCGCTGATTTTTTTATGTAAGTTCACTTGTATACATATTTCTTTTGATTTAATTTATATAAATTACTCTTTTGGTTTTAATTTCATGTAAAAAGAAACAATTGAGTACTGTCCGTGATACTTTTTTTTATTTGCACTAACAAACAATTTTGAGGACAAGCTTTCGGGGAGTGTCCCCTTCTTCAGGTCAAATGCACTAATACGGCTACAATCACCTCAAGCAATTTAATGTAATTAACTCAAAAATTCACCAACACGTAAGCGCATAGTTATAAGCTCTTGTGAGCCTATATTTATTATTATAACATAATATTTTTTTAAGAACTCTCCTCTATTTTTTATTTATATTTATTAATATTATGTGTGATTCACATTTGGGTTTATATAATCGAGCGCTGTTTATGAGGAGGGTCAACTATTCTCATCGATTTATATACTTAAAAATATTATGTAACAAAAAACATCTTATCAGGGTTCAAAAGAATAAGATTCTTTTTCATTAGCTGGTCTTTACCATTTGCCCACATATAATCTACCAATTTATGGAATTTCAGGTTGTGTTCATATATTACTATTTTTAATATTAATTTTATGATATTAATATTACTAGAGTATTTTATGATTGTAGTTTTTTTAGAGGTTTTTTTTTTTTTTTTTTAAGTACTCACAAAAAAATAAAAATTCACTTAAAATTATATTGATGCTTAAATGGGTTTTTTTTTTTTTTTTTTTTAAATTTAAATATTTATTAATTTTTCACATTATTACAAAATTTCCATAAGAAGAGACACAATACATATAAATATCAATACATTTCTACTCTGTCCCTTCTATTTACCTCTTTTATTTCCCTTCCCTCCCAACCCACCATTTCCCCCCTTCCCGCCCTCCCTCCCCTCTGCAAGATCTCCAGTCTCTCTAGGCCCAGTAACTTCGAATAACTTCCTAGTTTAGAGTTTTCTATATTTCTCTTTCAATCCCGATTTTTCCCATTTTTCCCATCGTGAATAGTATATTTTCATCCTGTCTTCCTGCATATGATAAGATTTTTCCATTCTGCTAATCTGGTTTACCCTATTGATCCAATCCTCCTCCATTGGTACCTCTGTCTTCTGCCAAAACTTGGGGATCAACCCTTTTGCTGCACTTAAGTAGTACCATACACCTGATTCTTTATATTTATTTACTGTTGTCTCAACACTATGTAGGAGACACATGGTTGGGTCTAATCCTATCTCATTTCCAGTTATTATTTCTATTAATTTGACTATTGTCTTCCAGAAAACCTGAATTTTTGGACATTGCCACCATATGTGAAAACACCGTGCCCTCTTCCCCACATCCTCTCCAACACATTTTTGAATTCTCCCCCTCATCCTGTGCTCAGTGCTCGGTGTAATATGCCATTGTGTCAAACATTTATAGTTAATCTCAACTTCTCTCATACTAACACTCTCGTGAACTAATCTAAATATCTTATTCTGTTGATCTTCATCTATCCCCACCCCCATATCTCTTTCCCAATTTGTTATGAAAATTAACTTTGTGTCTGTGTCTAGTTCTGTAAGTATTCTATACATTTTTGTAACACCGTGTTTCCCATCTCTACGTGTTTCTAATAGCCTTTCAAACATATTCCACTCCTTTTTTAATCTCAAGGGTTTTGGGAGAGTTCCTATAAAAACATTTTAATTGATGATATTTCCACTCATCTATTTTAGTAAACATATCTCCTCCCATCTCTTTTAATTCTTTAAAAATGTTCTCAGTTCCCCCTCTACCAATATGTCTCTCAATTGGATATCTTCCTTTTTTAAACCATCTCCTTGATATCTCATCTTTTCCTGGGGGGAAAAACTCTGTGTTTGCAAGAGGCATTAATATAGAGTTGAATTCCCATTTCATGTGTTTATGTAAATTATCCCATATCCTTAAGACAATTAAGGTGTAAGTGCTTGTGCCCTCTTTAATTCTTCTATAATGTGCTGGAACCATATCATCCTACTCAAATTAATTCCACTCAGATCATTTTCCATTTTTTACCCAACTTTTCCCCCCTTATGATTAAAAGTCCAGTCATAAATTCTTGCTAACATTACTGCTTTGTAATATCTCTTGACATCAGGTAGTCCCATCCCCCCTTTCGCTTTAGTCCTACTTAGTGTTTCATATGATACTCTTGGTTTTTTATTCCTCCATATAATATCTTGTTAACATTTTTCTCATTATCTTAAAAAACGCTCTGGGAGTTTGATGCGGGATCATTTGAAATCTATAGAGTATTTTAGGTATAATTACCATTTTAATTAGGTTCATACGTCCTAACCATGATGGATTTCCTCCTTCTAATCTTTTTAGTTCGTCCTTAATCTCATTTATCAGAGAAATATTAATTTAATCTATACAGTTGTTTATATGAGGTAGCAAGTTTTATACCTAGGTATTTTATATCTTTTTCTCTCCAAATAAAGGGGAATTCTTTTTGTAGCTTTTCTTTTTCGCTCTTTGGTATATTAATTGTTCAAAAATCTCAGTTTTTGTTGGGTTAATTTTTAGATTAGATAGTTCACCATATTCCTTCAGGATCTTCATTATATTTGGTAGTGTTATTCGGGGGTTGCCTACATAAAACAGTAGGTCGTCCGCAAAGGCCGCTTACTTTATGTTCTATATTTTCTATCTGGATTCCCTTTACCGCTCCACTGTTCCTTATTATTGATAGCAGGGGTTCCAATGTCAATGCATACAGCAAGGGGACAATGGGCATCCTTGCCTTGTTCCATTGGACATCCCAATGGATTCCGACCTTTCCCCATTTACCGTGATGATTGCGGTGGGCTCCTTATATAGTTTACCTATCCATTCACGCATTCTCTCTCCAATCCCCAACACTTCCAAGTTGTCCATCATAAAGCCCCAGTCCACTCTATCAAACGCCTTTTCGGCATCAATTGACAAGAGCACTACCGGGGCTTTCCCTTTTCTACTTTTTCTGGATAAGCATCAGAGTTCTCAAGCCATTATCTCTACCCTCTCTCCCCTGAACAAAGCCCACCTGGTCTCCATGAATCCATTCGGGCATTAGATCTTTCAGCCTGTTTGCTAGGACCTTTGCGTACAACTTAGTATCAGTGTTTAATAATGAAATTGGTCTGTAGCTAGAGCACTGAGAGGGATCTTTTCCCTCCTTATGGATGAGAACTACATGGGCCTGAAGGGATTCCCTCCTCCCCTCCATCCCACCTCCCAAGTCATTCATATATTTCTTTAACTTTGGTAACAGTACTTCACTAAATTTTTTATAGTACTTAACCGTATAACCATCCAGGCTTGGGCTTTTCCCTCCCCCTGTACTTCTTAATGCTGCTTCTATTTCTTCCTGAGAAATTTCTGCATCCAAGGAGTTCAGTTGTGTTTCACTAAGCTTTGGCAATCCCGCATTTTTTAAATATGTCCTCCTTTTTTCATTAATACCTTCCCTAATTTTTGGTGATCCTTGGTGGCTGATGTTATACAATTTTCTATAATACTCCGTGAATACTTTAATAATTTCTTTTTTAGTTGAGTGGACCATCTCCCCCTTAGGGCTTTTTATCTTTTCTATATAATTCCTGTTCTTCTTATTCAGGGCTCTCATTAAGTATTTTCCTGGTCTATCACCCCATCTATATCTTTCACTTAATACTTTTATTATATACTCTTCTCCTCTCCTCTTCCATCAATCTCTCTAATTCGTCTTTTTTATCCCTTAACTTCTGTCTTGTTTCTATTGTTATTTTTTTTCTTGTGTATCTGCTCCAATTCCAGGATTTCCTTTAAGAGTCCACTAACCCTCTCTCTTCTTTCTTTTTTTCTTCCTTGCTCCCATCGCAATCAGGATTCCTCTTATATATACCTTATGACTTTCCCATACTGTAGCTGTCGATACTTCCTCTGTTTCATTCTCCTGGAAATATACCTTAATCTCTTCCCTGATCTTCTGCACAATATCCTCGTCCAAGAGAAGAGCCTCATTTAACCTCCATCCTAAACCTCCCGTCCACCTTTTTCCCCATCCCATTTTCATTACGACTGGGGCATGGTCAGAAAAAGTTCTTGTCTCTATTTCTATTTTAACCAGCATTTCAATGAGTTGATGATCTATTAGAATGTAATCCAGTCTCGAGTATGTCTCATGTGCATTAGAGAAGAAGGTATAGTCTCTGTCCTTCATGTGCATTATTCTCCAGGTGTCCACCAGCTGGTACTCGTGGATCACCTTCCTCAAAGCTCTCAGGGACCTACCCCCTTCTCTCTGCACAAGGGAGGTTGCATCCATTTGTGGGTCCATACAGAGATTCAAATCTCCTGCTATTAT